GGTTCTTACAATGGTGAATTTAGTTTCGAATTCTCAAGCGAAAGTTCTGTGCTGTTACTCGAGAAGCGTAAAACATGCAAGAAGTTTGTATGCTAATAGGTCAGGATAATCAAGACATATATCAGATTTAGTTAAAGATTATCTGTATTATCCATAATAACAAATAAATAAATCAATCGTATGTTAAAGAAACAATCATATGATTGATATAATAATAATTCGCAATGATAAAAAGAATCTTAAAAATTATTATATAGATAGAATCCGTATCTTTTATCTTATCAAAATTCCTGACTTGTTGTAAATTTAAATATTTGTTTGATTCTTTTTTGAGTCACATTTTGTTGTTGGTTTGCTACAAAATTGATTATGAATGTGATATCAATGTGCTATAAGGAAAATATTGTAAACGTAAAATTATGTAAGTAAAAAAATCATAATTTAACTCCAACGTAAAATCAACGAGAGACAGATTAAACCCGTTAAATGTAGTCTATCATTCGCTAAAGTGCGCTCGGTCATTTAACGCGATAGTTAGCAAGCGCTCATCGAATCGAGTCTTTATTTATCGACCCAGCGGAAAATCGTTTCGTAACGCGGCACATCGAAAAGCTCTGGAAGGTGGAAGCACGTTTGAGAGGAAATTAGATCGGGCAATTTCCGTGTCCACCAGCAGCGTGAGCGGTTGACGAGAGATGGGACATGAACGCTGAAAGAAAAGATAGGTGTGCAATGTACAACTGACCACAGTGTATTTATTTGAACGTATTTTTACAAAATTAAATCGTTTAAAAAGAATTAAATTAGAAGAGTTAAATTGTGTTTGAAACATAAAAAACTAAAAAGAAAGAGTGAGAAAAAGGAAAAGAGCCGTATGACTAGTCAGATTTTTTGAGATCTCATTAGCGGAATACGCTTTCAGTTTGCATGCACACGATTCTTTCACAAGCGATACATATAGCTTTAATTTTTTTTTTTCTAAATACAAACAATTTTTAAAACGTAAA